TGCAAGTTGTGTGTAATAATTATGAAAGATGTGTAATATTGTATAAGTTGTGTATTAATTGCGCATGTTGTGTAATTGCATATGGACGAATTGTTTATTTATACCTTTGCGTATTGATTGTCATTGTGCAAGCTGAGTAATTATATAGCAAGTTTTCTTGTATTAATTGTGCAAAGATGTAAAATAATTACACAAACTGTGTAATAAATGTCCATGTTTTATAATAATTTTTGTGATAATAGTGCATTTATGCAAGTTGTGTTTTTAATTTGTTGAAGTGGAACTGGTGCAACTGTATTTGTGTGTGAAAATTGTGTATTTTGTGTAAGCTCTGTAATTTGATAAAATAGATCTTCATGGTGTAAGTGTATTTTGGTTTATGAGACAATGTGTGGGTATTTTGTGAAAATTACGTTTGTGAAATTGTGTAATTTTAGTGAAAGCGCATTTTTGATTGTCTAAATGCATAAGACTTTTGATATATTTGTGCAAAATACCGTACTTTGTGTAAATGTCATACTCTGAGTGTACATGCAATATTGTGTAAATGGTATATTTTTGTTTGCAACTGACATATTTTGTATGAAAATCTCATATTTTTTTGTGTGATGGTATATTTTGAGTGTAAATAATATATTTTGTGCATAAATGGCATATTTGGTGTGTAAATGCTGTATTTTCTGTGTGTATGGCATAAATTACATCTGATTAATGGGGAAATGGTGGCAAAAAACTAGGCTATTCTCTATGAATGCATAGGTTTTGAAGTATGTGTAGGTATGCATGATTGTATTTGCGAGTGTTGGTTTAGAAACAAGTTAGCTGATTTGCGTAGCAAGACTAGGATTTTTTGAGGTGTAGAAATGATTAGCCTATGAATATAGTGGCTAACATCCAGCTGAGTTGCTAGATGGATGAATTGAGGTGCGACATTTGGATATCTATTTGATGGATGTGAGGACAGTTGACTAGCCTATGAACACAGCCACTAATCCGCTGTACTGCCAGATGTGTGGTAACTACTTGTGGATTATAGTAGAATATCTAGCTATAGGGTTTCATAATTGCTGTTGTGTATATAACTAGAATAAGAGCTATTTATTATAACTATTATTGTAAACTAATACTTTAAGTGGGATCCCTTGGTTGTTTTAAGCATAGGGTGGACATGAATGAGATTGGGTGGAAATATATAGGAGCTGCCTCGTATGGGCCAATAGGACCTCTGCAGTTACCTTTATTCTTATGTTCAGCTCACCTGCTATGCTGCCAGATGTACGATTCTGCTTAAATTGCAGTACGACATTTGGGCTTCTGTTATACTTTTGAACTTATCACTGAATAATGATTACAGTCACGGATGACTAAAATGTATATTCTTAAACCTCTGATTAGGTTAGGTGGGGATGGATAGTCTAGTCATTTTTGAATAATAACATTAAATACACATGCCAGTAGGACGCCAAAGGGCGCATTGGTTGTCTGGTGACGTCATACATAGTTGACCAGTAAGGTACTGTAATACCTTCACACCTATATGCTAATGACCATCAATACATTGTCCCTATACCTGAGGTCGCTTTTCACGATGTCACTAAACAACAACAATAACTGTTCTGTAGAATGTATTTGTTTGTTATAAATAATATGTTAGGTTAGGTTAGGTTAGGAAGGTTTGATCGGGTTTATGAATAACAGAAAATATAAGTAATGAGCGAAAATACGAGCTATTGTAGCTGAATATCAACTCTGATGAAGCATAGAGTATAGGTGAGGTATTAAGCCTGATTAAGAGTTCACACTTATGTGTGAACCTCCTGGGATCCGCATTTAGCGCGCCTCGCGCCACATTAGGGATGATGACGTCAGAAACGAAGGCTTTATTTCAAAACATGAGAGGCTTGCTTTTCATTGAAGTCACCATGCCTGGCAGGGGACTGTTAGTTTATACAGTAATGTTGGATTAGTACTGAAATCGCATTGAAGTCACCATGCCTGGCAGGGTACTGTTAGTTTATACAGTAATATTGGATAAGTACTGAAATCGCATTGAAGTCACTACGCCCGGCAGGGGATTGTTTTCATACAAATGAAAGATAGTAAGTTTTCATTTTTATTTTGCCCTATGCTCAATAAGCAATTTCTGAAGAAAGATTGACAAAGCTTAAATTACATTCTCTAGAAAGGAAAAGAAATAGAGGTGACATGATAGAGCTGTGAATGAATGGACATGATAAAGGGGGAATATTAATAGACTATTAAAATTATCAACACTAGACAGAACATGAAACAATGGACATAAATTGGAATAAGTTTTAGATTTAGGAAAAAGACCTGGGTAAATACTGGTTCTGTAAACAGGGTTTGAAGTCATTTCTTATGTTATTATTATGTAATCTTAGCTATAAAATGATCTTAGACAATGGGAAACAGTACGGCAATACCTTATTGAGAAAAACGAGCTAATAATGATTAACGCCATTGCACATTAGGCTTGACAGAAGGCAGCATTTGAATCCCCCTTTGCTATAAATATTGAAAATGGGAATAATTACACTGCAACAGAAAACGGACTTATACAGGGAAAATGAAGACGGGGGTGACGTCATTATCCATTAGCGATGCCTGTGCAGGGTTACTCAGGTAACGAAATATGATGGGGCCAGGAGCCGGCCTTTTAATCCCCAGGTAAGTTGATGACGTCATTGACCATTGGCTATGCCTGTGCATGGGTCAGGCCATGAAAGAAAATTCGAGAAAACCCTGGGGCCAATGACCGGCTTTTTAATCCCCTTTAACATGCCTGTGCAGGGTCACTAAGCTAACGAAATTTGGGGATGACTGAAGGCGGCCGTTTAATCCCCTTGAGCGAAAATGGCAGGGGCCAATGACCGGCATGGAGAAAAAAAGTTCGTAAAACCCAGGGGCCAATGACCGGCATGGTGAAAACAGTTCGTAAAACCCAGGGGCCAATGACCGGCATGGTGAAAACAGTTCGTAAAACCTAGGGGCCAATGACCGGCATGGTGAACACAGTTCGTAAAACCCAGGGGCCAATGACCGGCATGGGGAAAAAAAGTTCGAAAAACCCAGGGGCCAATGACCGGCATGGGGAAAAATCAAAATTGCCGGTCATTGGCCTCAATCCTACTACTCACTCTCACCCAACACTCTCACCCAACACTCTCACCCAACACTCACCCAACACTCTCACCCAACACTCTCACCCAATACTCTCACCCAATACTCTCACCCAACACTCTCACCCCACACTCTCACCCAACACTCTCACCCAACACTCTCACCCAACACTCTCACCCAACACTCTCAACCAACACTCTCACCCAACACTCTCACCCCACACTCTCAACCAACACTCTCACCCAACACTCACCCAACACTCACCCAACACTCACCCAACACTCACCCAACACTCTCACCCAACACTCTCAACCAACACTCTCACCCAACACTCTCACCCCACACTCTCAACCAACACTCTCACCCAACACTCACCCAACACTCACCCAACACTCTCACCCAACACTCTCACCCAACACTCTCACCCAACTTCCCTATTACATATGCACTGTTATCTATTACCTATTACCTATTACCTATTACATATTACATAGGTATGAAATTATAAGTGCATTAATTTGTATTCCAATCCACACACAAATATATATTATAGCCTCAAGGTGATTATATGAATTCTCTCAGCCATTGCAAAGAATTACAAAAGTTGCTTTTAACTGATTTTAAAAGCTGATTTGCTAATACATTGATGTGCCTCCGATTACTGTAATTGTTTTGAATTATTTTGTTCAACTATATGTAAATTGTAAATTAAGTTTATTAAAGTGTTGAATCTTTTATCTGCTGCTACGCCATAATCTGCCGGTATCTATAGCTGTGTGTTCTCTTATTCAGTAATTGATATTATAATTTAAACATTGATAAACGCTTCGACTTGTTTATATTTGGCACGAGCAGCTGTTGCGGGTGTTGAAGTTTGTGAAGGTGGGTGTTGCGGGTGTTGAAGTGTGTGGTGGTGGGTGTTGCAGGTGTTGAAGTTTGTGAAGGTGGGTGTTGCGGGTGTTGAAGTTTGTGGAGGTGGGTGTTGCAGGTGTTGAAGTGTGTGGAGGTGTGTGTTGCGGGTGTTGAAGTGTGTGGAGGTGTGTGTTGCTGGTGTTGAAGTGTGTGGAGGTGTGTGTTGCTGGTGTTGAAGTGTGTGGAGGTGGGTGTTGCTGGTGTTGAAGTGTGTGGAGGTGGGTGTTGCAGGTGTTGAAGTGTGTGGAGGTGGGTGTTGCAGGTGTTGAAGTGTGTGGAGGTGGGTGTTGAAGTGTGTGGAGGTGGGTGTTGAAGTGTGTGGAGGTGGGTGTTGCTGGTGTTGAAGTGTGTGAAGCTGGGTGTTGCAGGTGTTGAAGTGTGTGTAGGTAGGTGTTGCAGGTGTTGAAGTGTGTGGAGGTGGGGGGTTGAAGTATGAGGATATTGCTGTTGATGTGCAGACGTGCAGACAGTAGGTGTTGAGGCTCAGAGAGGTAGGTGTTGCTTGTGTTGAGGCTCTGAGAGGTAGGTGTTGCTTGTGTTGAGGCTCAGAGAGGTAGGTGTTGCTTGTGTTGAAGAATGTTGAGATAAATTTTATTTGTGTTGTGGTGTGGAGAGGTAAGTCTTGCTGGTGTTGAACGGTGATCAGTCAGTTGTTGCTAGTGTTGTAATGGGGGAGGGGGCAGGTGTTGCAGGTGTTGAAGAACTTAGAGGCATGTGTTTCTCTGAGGAATAAGCATCAGTAACAAAAGCAGGTAATTACTCCAGGTAAAACCATCAGTAATATAAGTGTAATGCAATATTTACATTCACGGCAAACGCTTTTTATTATTACAATGATAGTGAAATTAAAACATTTGAATATCATATTTGAATATAAGATGAATGTCGCCCAGTGACCTTTTGGGACTGTGTTAAAGAGTGTCTCAGAGAGCTGCCCTCCTTATAAGAGTGTCTCAGAGTGGTGACCTCCTCACAAGAGCGTCTCAGAGAGCTGACCTCCTCACAAGAGTGTCTCAGAGAGCTGACCTCCTCACAAGAGTGTCTCAGAGTGGTGACCTCCTCACAAGAGCGTCTCAGAGAGCTGACCTCCTCACAAGAGTGTCTCAGAGAGCTGACCTCCTCACAAGAGTGTCTCAGAGAGCTGACCTCCTCACAAGAGTGTCTCAGAGAGCTGACCTCCTCACAAGAGTGTCTCAGAGAGCTGACCTCCTTACAAGAGTGTCTCAGAGTGCTGACCTCCTCACAAGTGTCTCAGGGCAGGTCTCAGGAGGACACGAGAGCAACACCTGCAGGTCTCAGGAGGACACGAGAGCAACACCTGCAAGTCTCAGGACACGAGAGCAACACCTGCGGGTCTCAGGAGGATACGATAGAAACACCTGCAGGTCTCAGGAGGGACACGAGAGCAACACCTGCAGGTCTCAGGAGGACACGAGAGCAACACCTGCAGGTCTCAGGAGGACACGAGAGCAACACCTGCAGGTCTCAGGAGGACACGAGAGCAACACCTGCGGGTCTCAGGAGGACACGAGAGCAACACCTGCAGGTCTCAGGAGGACACGAGAGCAACACCTGCGGGTCTCAGGAGGACACGAGAGCAACACCTGCAAGTCTCAGGACACGAGAGCAACACCTGCAGGTCTCAGGAGGGACACGAGAGCAACACCTGCAGGTCTCAGGAGGGACACGAGAGCAACACCTGCAGGTCTCAGGAGGACACGAGAGCAACACCTGCAGGTCTCAGGAGGACACGAGAGCAACACCTGCGGGTCTCAGGAGGACACGAGAGCAACACCTGCGGGTCTCAGGAGGACACGAGAGCAACACCTGCAGGTCTCAGGAGGACACGAGAGCAACACCTGCAGGTCTCAGGAGGACACGAGAGCAACACCTGCAGGTCTCAGGAGGACACGAGAGCAACACCTGCGGGTCTCAGGAGGACACGAGAGCAACACCTGCGGGTCTCAGGAGGACACGAGAGCAACACCTGCGGGTCTCAGGACACGAGAGCAACACCTGCAGGTCTCAGGAGGACACGAGAGCAACACCTGCAGGTCTCAGGAGGACACGAGAGCAACACCTGCAGGTCTCAGGAGGACACGAGAGCAACACCTGCGGGTCTCAGGAGGACACGAGAGCAACACCTGCGGGTGTCAGGAGGACACGAGAGCAACACCTGCAGGTCTCAGGAGGACACGAGAGCAACACCTGCAGGTCTCAGGAGGACACGAGAGCAACACCTGCGGGTCTCAGGAGGACACGAGAGCAACACCTGCGGGTCTCAAGAGGACACGAGAGCAACACCTGCGGGTCTCAGGAGGACACGAGAGCAACACCTGCGGGTCTCAGGAGGACACGAGAGCAACACCTGCGGGTCTCAGGAGGACACGAGAGCAACACCTGCGGGTCTCAGGAGGACACGAGAGCAACACCTGCGGGTCTCAGGAGGACACGAGAGCAACACCTGCGGGTCTCAGGAGGACAAGAGAGCAACACCTGCGGGTCTCAGGAGGACACGAGAGCAACACCTGCGGGTCTCAGGAGGACACGAGAGCAACACCTGCGGGTCTCAGGAGGACACGAGAGCAACACCTGCGGGTCTCAGGAGGACACGAGAGCAACACCTGCGGGTCTCAGGAGGACACGAGAGCAACACCTGCAGCTCTCAGGAGGATTGTAGCGACGCTGAACCATCGACCGGGATGCCACAGGTGCCGACCAACCTACTCCCTCGACTATCATTTGCGGCCCTAAAGACCTACCTGCTCCCGGTGAACCATCAATTCCGGCCGCTGCAAACGCTACTCGGACGCCATTTTATTGATCGAACGAGTGAGTTCCTCCTCTGGGGGTTAGTGTATGTGCCAATCACCAGTAATTAAGGTTCATGCAGAAATAATTAAATCAGGAATTCAGATTACAGGACGACGTTGTCACAGCTCCGATACCACTTGGCTGCAGGTATCTATGGCATGTTCGGCTTTACAGAGAACTAGATGAAGTAAAGTGTAAAGTATGGAAACTAGATGAAGTAAAGTGTAAAGTGTGGAAACTAGATGAAGTAAAGTGTAAAGTGTGGAAACTAGATGAAGTAAAGTGTAAAGTATGGAAACTAGATGAAGTAAAGTGTAAAGTGTATGATATAAAACTCTTGATCATTGTAACTTAAATTGTGAAATAATTGTATCAATATTTTGCTAGTTGTAGATAACTTTCATTTGTGAAATTATTGTATAAGTTATGCGTTGCGTAGACCAATAATATATACAACCTGTAATATTCAGTATATTAATTATTATTTAAATAACAAAAGATTTAACTCCAATAATATACTGTAAACACAGAGATGTTGAATTGGCAGAAGTTTGTTACTTCTTGTCCTTCTTGCTTGATAAGGTGTGCAGGTTAGATGTTATTGTTAATGTGAAAACTTCCGCTGAGGACTGATTAACCATCTTGCGCTCTGTATTCCATTTTTGCACTACCGTTCACAGGATGAGTATAGGGTGAACGATGAGTATAGGGTGAACAATAAAAAAACAGCCCAAATTTGGAGGCCAGATACTTGTTGTTAGCCTCATCCAACTTTGCACGGGAAATGTTTTAGGGTTTGGAAAAAACTTTTTTTTTTTTAACTGCCCCATCTATTGGAGGTAAGAGAAACACACGATGTAATCTTCGAAAGTTCTTCACCGATTGCTTTGAAATTTTTACACAACGTTCCATTTGAATACGCACGTGTTTTTATATACCTACTATATAGATGCCACACCTGTGACAGGTAAAAACATGCTTGTTTTGATTAACAGACCCATCTGTTATTCATAATAGCAACACACATTATTCTAAATATGTTATGATTCTATTTCAATGTTTCTGATTGCAGTGATAAATTGAATTTTCATAGATTTTGATTTGTTTTATTTTGATTTAATTATTTTGTGTGACATTGCGTTGGAATTGAGCTGTGTTTTTACCATACCGTTCATTTTGTAAGTATAAGTATAGATGCCTCACCTGTAACTGGAAAAGCATTCGTTTTTAAGAAATAGCGCCATCTGTTGCACATAAAAGCAACACACGCTATATTAAATATGTTACGATTCCATTTAAAAGTATCAGATTTCATGACTGAAATCTGAAGGACATGACTGAATTTCATGAGGACAGGGGAGGAGGGGGGGGTAATGGTGTGGCGGACGAAGGGCCAGAGGAGTTGGGGATGGTCGGGACGAGGGGACAGAAATGGAGAATGGTGTGGAGGACAAGGGAACAGGATAGAGGGAGATGTTGAGAACAAAGGGACAGGGGAGGGGGGAATGGTAGGGAGGACTAGGGGACGGGGGTGGAGGAATTTGTGGGGAGGACTGGGAGACAGGGAAATGTTGCTGTGGCCGGGTACAGCTAATCTGTATAAATAAAAATGTAAATGTTCGTTTGTTCAAAATCGCTGATCTGCAAAGTTCTTCACCAATTGCTTTGAAATTTTGACACAACGTTCAATGGTTGTGTTTGTTTGATACAACAAACAAATGTTTATGTATATAAAAACCCACATCCAAGCGGGTTTTTATATACATACTATATAGATGTCACGTCTGTGATGGGAAAAAACATGATTTCTTATTCAAAAAACTGTGCTTTTCATGTGAGGGAAATCTTCGAAACCTCTTTACCGATTGCTTTGAAATTTTGACACAACGTTGCATTCGAATAGGTGCGTGTTTTTATATACTTACTATATACATGCCACACCTGTGACAGGTCAGACCATGCATTTCTTTGAAAAACAGCACCATCTGTTGCAAGTAATAGCAACACACGCTATACTAAATATGTTACGATTCCATTTAAAAGTTTCAGATTTCATTGATAAATTGAATTTGCATAAATTTCGATTCATTTTCATTTTGATTTAATTATTTTGTGTGACATTACATGGGAATTGAGCTGTGTTGTTTACCATACCGCTCATTTCGTAAGTATAGTTTTTTTTCATTGTTTTCATTTCGTTTTTTAACTGTTTTTCTTATATATCTGTGATGGGATCACCAGATCATTTGATGTTCCAATTTTCTGATGGAAACATCAGATCATTTTGGAATGCATCAGACGAAGGCGTCGGGAATGGTGGGGAGGACGAGGGGATGGGGGAGTGAGGAATAGGGTGGAGGATTAGGGGACAGGGAAGGGGAGAATTTATTTATTTATTTATTTATTTATTTATTTATTTATTTATTTATTTATTTATATACAAGAAGGTACAGTGGGTTTGTGAGAATACATAGCATGGTATTTACAATCTTTAAAATCACTAGTACGCACAGCGTTTCGGGTAGAAACCCGAAGGTGGGGAGGACTAGGAGATAGGGGATGGTTGCAATGGCCGTGTACAGCTAGTATTCAAATAATTGAATAAACGTCAGTGAGTAATCTCAGGGTATTAGCAGAAGATGGGCGTTGGTAATAAGTGACATGATGTGAGATGTCGATACTTTGGGGAGGTGAGGTGACGCTATCAGGAGGTCGTGACCTCACTTGAGTCGCAGTTGTCGTCAGAGGTGGATGTACTGTGTTGATCTCCTGCAAGAAGGAATATAGTTCCCTGTGTTAGTGTGTTAGTGCTGGAGTGAAGACAACTTGTCTGCAAGTGTGTGGAAGCTGTTGGGGACATAGTACACCATTTCTCTGTGATGTTGATAATTAGAGGCGGCTGGAAGAGAGTGTTTGGCTGCGCCAAGTCGTGGACTGAAGGAAGCCCTGTGAGGCAGTCCTGAAGCATTTTTGTGGGCGGCCTATAGAGCGCCATGTGTGAGCTCCAGTGAGTGAGCATCCTCATTTCAGAGAATTCTGCGGTAAGTTCATATAACGGTTATTACAGTGGTTGCCTGTGCATTGATTAATGGACGCAGTGAGGTAAAATAAGAGAGTAGTTATAAGAGAACACGTAAGAGGGAACGGCAGTACGTCCATTCTCGATGAAGGTTAGTGACTGACTGACGGGAAAAGCCCCCCAGCGTCGAGTGCGGTGCCCCCCCCCCCCCAGCGTCGAGTGCGGTGCCCCCCCCCCCCCCCCAGCAACGCGTCCAGACATATTCTCAGAGTAAACTCGCCCAGGATGGGGGAGGACCGTCGCGGCGACGCATTAGTGTTTATAGAGACGTAGGATGGAGGAGTTTGTTTTCTGTAAATGCATTTAATTATGTTTTGTTATAAAAACATTTTTATTGGCATTGTGATGAAATTACAGATTTGTTTGGGAAGAAGTTGATGGAGAAACTTCGAGGTTAGAGAGGAAATTGATGGAGGAACTTCCAGGCTAGAAAAGAAGTGTATGTTGAACTCCGTGGTAGAGGAAAACTCCAAAGTGGGGAGTTGACTTCAATCAGTGTAGAGGAGCTACACGTGTCTGTGAGGAATCAGTGATGGAGCATCACTGATGTTGGGTTAGGACTTCGTTGTGCAGCAGTTTGCGAGAGCTGCTGAAATGGCTTTCCTGATTTTGGAGACCTAGACACATATATATTGGTAGTGAACCTCTAGGAGCAGAACAGAGGTTCATGATAGACACACATGATTGTATAAGAGAAATGTTTGAATGCTTATTGGCATGTAAGATGCAGTGTAAGGTGAGAGATTGATTTCTTCTTTTATTTGGGAAAACTTATGTAGATGTTTCTGGTGTTTCAGCCTCAAGCTGAATTTCTTATACTTTTATTGCTAAAGATAGAGTATTGTTGTGACAGGATTTCAGCTCCCATTTAGTGAGGGAGTAGTTAGTGGTAAGCCAAGAGTTGAGCAGCCACGTGATATGGACAGTAGGTGAAGCCAGGATATGATACCGGAATGCTAGCAGGTTGTAGCAGGATAGAGTGTTGCATGATAATGTTCTACTTTATATGTCATGTATTGTGAAGGTTTTCTTTGTATATTAAATGAAAATGTTAACTTGCTTTTGCTCTTGTCCTGGTGAGGTTTCCCAGAAACCAGGAGAGAGAGAGAGAGGGAGAGAGAGAGGGAGATAGAGAGAGAGGGAGAGAGAGAGAGAGGGAGAGAGAGAGGGAGAGAGAGAGAGAGGGAGAGAGAGAGAGAGGGAGAGAGAGAGAGAGGGAGAGAGAGAGAGAGGGAGAGAGAGAGAGAGGGAGAGAGAGAGAGAGGAGAGAGAGAGAGAGAGGAGAGAGAGGGAGAGAGAGAGAGAGAGAGAGAGAGAGAGAGAGGGGAGAGAGAGAGAGAGAGAGAGAGAGAGAGAGAGAGAGAGAGAGAGAGAGAGAGAGAGAGAGAGAGAGAGAGAGAGAGAGAGAGAGAGAGAGAGAGAGAGAGAGAGAGAGAGAGAGAGAGAGAGAGAGAGAGAGAGAGAGAGAGAGAGAGAGAGAGAGAGAGAGAGAGAGAGAGAGAGAGAGAGAGAGAGAGAGAGAGAGAGAGAGAGAGAGAGAGAGAGAGAGAGAGAGAGAGAGGGAGAGGGAGAGAGAGAGGGAGAGAGAGAGAGAGAGAGAGAGAGAGAGAGAGAGAGAGAGAGGGAGAGAGGGAGAGAGAGAGAGAGGGAGAGAGAGCGAGGGAGAGTGTTACGGACCCGGATCCAGCGTCCGAGCACGGAGCAGTGACGACCGCGCCATCTGTGGGTCAGCTCCCCGAAACTCCCTCCAAATGGACGACGACACCTGGTGAGGACGAAGTGTACTGGCCACAAGGGCCTGTTTCCAGTCCTGTTCAGCTCACAACACCGCCGCTGCTGACCACTGGTGAGGTGGTGCTCAGACGACAACGCCATCTATGGAGTGGATACGTCGGGCGTTTGTGTCTGAGCCTGTAAGTGAGGTGCTTTAGTGTGTCCCTGTTATTGATGACGTGTCTGCTTACAGAGTCGACCTGGGACTGCTGTAAGGGAAGTTGAGTCAGTCTACCCAAGGCAGCCGTCCCCATACCTTGTGCTTTGCTGCAGCAGCTGTGAGTCGCCTCCCGGAGGAACACTGTGGTGTTACCCTGCCAGTGAAGTGGCAGTTGAAGGATTGTCGTACCCGGGACCGACTGCTGGAGACGATTGACCACTGGGGTATTGTGGACAGGAGAGTGATTTGTGGTATCACACGAGGCTCCTGACTAGGGCGCTACCCTAGTATCGCTCGTGGAGTGGCCTGACCAGCGTTGCTGATCCGGAACCTGCCAGCAGTTTGCTGGACTTGTGGTTGACGGCCTCCACGGTGGCGCCCCCAGTGGAACTGTGTTTTGGCTGGCCTGTGGCCGGGGTAGACTCAGCTTTTGAAGGATTCGTCGAGAGGTCACGAGAGCACCGAGAACTTGGCACCAAGATGATCCAGGGTCTTCAGAAGAAGACTACAGTGTAAATAATTCCCCTGCGTAGTGTTAATACCCCTCCCCCTGTGTAACCTTTTATATATTATTTATTGGTGAAGGTATTAATTATAATCTTAAGTTTTTGCCTTTCTTTCCCTTCCCCCTTTTGATTTACTTGCGTTACGGATCACATCCCTTGAAAGCCACTACTGGCTTGGGGCCGGATACCCTTCCTCTAACAACATCAGAGTAAGAACCCAGTTGCGACCCGAGAGGGCCGTAACATAATTGGCATCCCCAGCGGGATCCGTCCCCTTGTTAAGTATGTTTGACAAGGGTGGTGAAGTGGCGTAATCCCTGTAAATAATTCCCCTGTGTGTGACGATTGGGACGTTATACGCCCTGTGCGGTGCTCAAGAGTGACTAAGTGCGATATTGTGTAGTGCGGTGCTCGGCGTGATTCAGTGCAATATTGTACAGCGAAGTGTTCGCTGGGATTCAGTGCAATATTGTGTAGTGCGGTGCCCGAAGTAATTACGTGCAATATTGGCAAGTGAGGCGCCAGGTGCGATAAAGTGCAATATTGACGTAGAACAGTGCTCGGTGCGTTAAGTGCTAACGTGAAAGCGGTGTGTTAAGTGCTAAGTGTTCCATCTGTGACAATGGCAGAAAAAGCTACCATCGATGATCTGGACGATGTTCAGGCTTTTCTGAACAGAGAGGACTGTCTTGCCAGATTAAAATATCTGAGCAAACCGGAACTTGTACTAGTGAGCGCCTACCTGGAGATCAAGATCCGTGCCAGTGATTCCCGTGTGGAGATCTTGTCCAAGGTTCACCGACACTTGAAGGCAGAGGAGAAACAGGAAGGCGAGACTCCTAGTATAAAGGAAGGTGAGGAAATAGCTTCCACTGAACAGGAAGGTAAGAGCAGTGATGTCGAAAGTGATGAAAGTGAACTAAATATAAGTGTACTTACTGTGAAGATGCGTGAACTAGAGATCCATCGTGAAATAGAATGGAAAAAGCTAGAAATCGCTAAAGAAAGAGAAGAGGAAGCGAGAAAGAGAGAAGATAAGAAATTAGAAATGGAAAGAGAGCGATTAGGAAAAGAATTAGAGATGAGGCGTTTAGAATTAGAAGAAAGGAAGGCAAAAAGAGAAAGAGAAGAGAAACGAGAAAGAGAAGAACGAGAAAGAGAAGAGGAAAGAGAAAGAGAAAGAGAAGAACGAGAAACGAGAAAGAGAAGAACGAGAAAGAGAAGAGAGACGAGAGAGAGAACAGCGAGAGAGAGAAAACGAAAGACAGAGACAACATGAACTAGAAGTATTACGATTAGGCGGTGGTCGGAGGCCAACAACGGAAACCAGTAGTTTCGATCCGGTAAGGAACATAAAAATGGTCCCAAAATTCAACGAGAGAGAAGTTTCGAAGTTCTTCGCAGCCTTCGAGAAAGTCGCTGCCTCTTTGGAGTGGCCAAGGGAGAATTGGGCCATCATGATACAGTCGGTCTTGACTGGGAAGGCCCAAATCGCCTACTCCACGTTATCCCTTGACGACTCCGGCGATTATGACAAGGTGAAGAAGGTTGTGCTCATGGCGTACCAATTGGTACCTGAGGCGTACAGGCAGAAGTTCAGAAACCTGAAAAAGACCTCAGAGCACACTTTCATCGAATTCGCCACCATCAAGGAGCGACTTTTCCAGGAATGGTGTGCCTCTTGGAAGGTGGAGACCAAAGAAGACCTCGAGCAGCTCATACTGCTAGAGGACTTCAAGGATTGTTTGTCTGGAGACCTGAAGACGTACTTAGAGGAACAGCAGGTAGATACCTTGAGTGCGGCAGCCACCATGGCTGAGGAATACATCCTGACGCACCGGCCTTCTGCTAAGTACGTCCCGAGGAATTACCCACGCCGGTTTGACAGACCTCATGACGAAGAGGAAAGACCCGTCCCACAAAGCGCTAAGAAGACGCCCCCAAGTAGCCCTCGAAGGACGAGTCCTAGCAGTCCGAAACACCGTAGTCCAAGGAGGAATATGGTGTTCTGGACTTGTGGGCAGAAAGGGCATGTAGCTGCTATGTGCCGAGGCAGAAGAGGTGGCGGCGCACGTAGGGAAGTGATGATGATGAGCTGTGTAACACCACCAGCAGGAAGCCAGTCGACGGCGACGCAGGAAGGACCAAGTTTGTTCGCCCCTCACACTTCAAGCGGGTATGTAACGAGTGATCATACTGGTAGATCTGTAGTAGTGCTCAGAGATAGTGGAGCAGCCCAGTCCCTGATCGTGAGAAGCTCGTTACCTGAGGGAGTAAGTGTGGACGGGAGACAACAGGTTGTCCTGGTTGGGTTTCCTAGGACGCAGTATATCGCCCCCTTAGTGCCAGTACATCTCGACTCGCCTTACTTCAGCGGCTCATGTGTGTTGGCAGTAGTCGATACCCTCCCTGTAGCTGGGATTGACGTGATACTAGCCAACGACTTGGTGACAGATTGGAGCATCAATCTTCCCAAGGTCGTGGACGAGTCAGCCGAAACAGCAAGGTCGGAGGTGACAACAGGCAATGGTAATGTCCAGGTAAAGACAGACCCGGATTTAAGTATGTTTAATCCTTCCTCTCACCCGCAGATCGACAGTATTCTAGCAGTCTCTCCTGATTCTTCTCCCGACGAGGAACATGCGGTTACGA